CCTAAGGAGGGCAACAGGATTAGACAATATAGAGATTCCTTCTTTCCCACTTCAAACACACAAACATTGGATAAAGGAATGTTTACAATGTTTGAGTATACAGTCAAATCCAAAAGCAACAAGACCCTTCCAGGTGCCAGAACAAGGTGAAAAACTATGGCAGAAGTGGTGATGAGGTACTGAATTTATAGAATCCAAAGAGTCCTCACATCTCAGGGGCTGTAGCTTGAATGCCTGAGCAGAATCTGGAGAAAAGACTGCAGGTCCTGTGCATGGCAGGGAGCTGGAACATTAGAGCAAGCCTCTGTGCACAAAGCTGGGAGTGGTGTCATGTTGTGGCTGAACTGGGACTGGGATAGCTCCACTCTCCTGCCCTAAAGAGCAGCAGGGAGCAAATTGCCATGCCCAGGCACCTCATTTATTCATCACATATTTACTGAACACTTAGTGTGTACCTGGCATTGTTCTGGGCACTACAGGTCAGCCAAGAATAAAATATGCCCCCCCATCCCCACCCCCAGTTCTGGTCTTATGGAGGTTACATTTTAATTAAAACAGACAAGAAAAAAAAATGAAGTAAGCCAGGTGGTGCTAAATGCAGTAAAGAAAACTAAAAACAGAGAAGGGGCACAAGCTGTGGTCAGGGATGGCATCTCTAAAAAGGTGATATTTATTATTTTATAGTCTATCCTAAAAGGCGACAGAAACCTAAAGGAAATGAGAAAAGGCACCATTTGAATAGGTGTGAGAAGACAGCAAGCACAGAAAAATCCTAAAAAATCAGATATACTAACCTACGCAACTTGCAAGGTGTGGGACCCATATGTGTCTACATTACTCTTAGGAAGCAAAATCCCAGTCTCAGAATCTGTCATGATCTGGACATAAAAACTGACCCAGACAAGTGAACCCTATAAGGACAGGCAGAGGTAACTTCTGAAAAATCCTATGAGGATTCCGCCACAAGCCAGCAAAGAGCATCTTACAAGAGAACCCCCATGGTGGGCTCAAAGATTAAAAGTTGCAAAACAAAGAAGCAACCCACTGCCTTGCCAGGAAGTCAGCAAATATAGCAAATGGGAAAGTGCATGCTTCAAAATGTGCAAGCCATGATAGCACAATCTAAAAGACTTTACAACGACATTTAATATGTTCATAACAGAACAGTAGGGGAAAAAAGGATAGACAGATCTGAAACAAAAGTCAATCCATTAAAAAGAATCACTGAAATAAAACAACAGCAATATATGGTTGAACAGTACTGCAGACCCAGCTGCATAGAAAATTAGTAGTTTGGAAATCACCCAGAATGCAGAATGCTAAAGAGAAAAATATTTAAAAAGGCAAAGAAACATGGAAGAAAGGCAATGTATCAACGTATGTCTAATCTCCGCAGTTTCAAAAAACATAAAAACAGAGAGAAACTGGATTGGAGAAAGGCAATGTTTGAAGAGAGAACATGAGAGAATCATTCTGAAGCAGACAACCATGAGTTCTCAAACAAAAAAAACACATTAAATCTTGAGGATTAATAAGAACAAATCTAGCATGGTCAAACGACCAAATATCAAAAAGAGGGGCTCCTGTCTTTGAGGTCACCCGCACTTTGTAAGTGTGTAATCTTTTAATCTTAAACTTTCTCTCTCCAACCTTTCAGGGGCGCCTCTCCTCTCTGAGGCTGCTGCACTTACTCTCTCTTTAAGTAACTTTAAATAAAACTTTTACTCTGCTTCACTAAAATAAATAAGTAAATAAATAAAGAGGACACTTAACAGTTACCAAAAAGGAAAGATCATTACCCACTGAAGAATAACAATCAGATTATCAGAATTCCTATCAGCAGTGGCAGATATAAGAAGATAAAGCAATAATACCTCCAAATGATTGAGGGGGGCGGAAATAACTGTCAGCCTAGAATTTTATACCTAGTTAAGCTACCATGTTGTGTGTGTGTGTGTGTGTGTGTGTGTGTGTGTGTGGCGCGTGCGCACACGCGTTCTTGCTCACTGGAAAAACTGTTAAGATATGAGGTGTATGCTTAAGGAAAAAGTTAAATGAACCCAGAGAGAAGATACTATTTGAAGAAAAAAAAAAGTCCACACAACAAAATAGGTAAGGATCTTTTCCATGTGTGGGAAATAGATAATAAATGAGAAACAAACAAAATAATGTCAGATTGAAAAAACTGCTTTGATCAAAGTGAAGTGATATATCAGAGTAACCTGAAGGGAAAAGGACCCTACTTTGGATAAGGCAAGGTTTGTTTCTCAACAGCAGCACAACTGAGGTTTTGGGCCAGATGATTCTTTGTTATGGAAAGTTGTCCTGAGCATTGTAGTATCTATGCAGTGTCCCTGATCTCTACCTACAAGACATCAATGGCACCCTCCCAGTTCCAGCAATGGAAAATGTTTCTAGACGTTGCCAAAAACCTTCACCCCGCAGAACTGCCCCCAGTTGAGAACCACTGTGTGTTCAGGGTGGGTCTCTCTGAAGAGGTGATATCTGAGCTGAGACTAGAAGGAAAAGCATTAGCTAGTCTGATGGTTGCAGGACGTTCATTCTAAGCAATGGGACAGCAAGTACAATTGGCCTTAAGTCAGGAAGAGATCTTGTGTTTTTGAGAAAGCAAAAGGAGACCAGTGTGGTTGAAGCACAGTGATTGGGGGAAGAAAAGGATGAGAAATGAAACGAGGGCAGGGAATATCAGGCAGAGATCCATTACACAGAGTTTTGTAGGCCATGAAGGGAATTTGGATTTATGCAAAAGGCATTAAGATTACTGATTTAATACTTTCAAAGTGTTACTCCGGCTTCTGTGTATAAAGTGGAAAACCTTGTAGGTGAGCAAGAGTGAAAGCAGTAAGGCCCGTGTGGGAACTCCTTCAGTTGCTCAGAGAATGGCAGTAGGAGATGAAGAGAGTGAGCAGATGCCTGAGCCACTTCTTATTAAGTGGGAATGCATGTAAAGCTGTCGCATCTACCAAAAAACCAATGATAGCGTTATGGGTGCAGAGAGGATACTCAGGGTCCCGAGAGGAGCGGACTTGTTTTTCTGTTTTACTCGGTTCCGGACTGACAACATAATTAATCTCTGCGTAGTCTGAGGCCCATAGGTTGGGATAACATCACCCGTCTCGAAGGCCATCTTTGGCACATTTAAAGCACACGGGCCCAACACACCGGGGCTCGGAGCGGCGCGTCCCCGTCTGCAGGTCTTGCTTCCCGTCTGCCCGCCCGCAGACACCTGAGCAGGCATGCGTCTCCCGGGGGTCGCTTCAGGTGAGGAGCCGGCCCGGCGGCCCGACTGGGGAGGTTACGAAACCAGCCCTATATTTCCCAACCCGCACGCGGGGCTACCTTCTAAAGGCTGAGCTCGGGGCCCCGGCGGGCTCTCACCGAAGCGGGAGCTGCCAGCCCGCCGCCGCCCTCCCCGGCCGGGCCGGGCCTGGCCTGCGGCCATCTCCCCGTCAAACGCCGGAGCCCCACCACCTCCCGGGCCTCACCCCTCTCGAAGTCCATCTCGTCTAGCGTCTGCTGCACGCCGGGCGCCGCGCTGGCGTGGGCGCAGGACGGGCGTTCGGCGCAGGGCCGCGAAGCCGCCATTCCGACCAGGCCGGGGCGGGCGGCTTAGTCAGGCGCGGGTCTGACCAGTCGCCGGCCGGCGACCGCGCGGGGCTGGCCAGTAGGGCGTCTGGGCGTTGGCTCGTGAGCCAATCGGGGTGGCGGGGCGGAGTTTGCTGCGCTGTGCCTTGCTGCGACGTGGCCGCGAGAGGGCGTCCTTGGCTAAGCGCAGGGCCTGGGCGCGCCGAGCGGGCCACAGGGACCCGACTCCCGGGTCCGTGGCCTGGTAGGGTTGGGGACGAGGCGGGCAGGCCTGATCCGGAGCATCTAGGGGACGCTCGCCAGAACCCAGCCCTCCAGGTCCTCCTCGTCCACCGGGCATGCCGGGCAGGGATGGGCTAGCGCACCACTCAGGCCCAGAAAGATCTCACGGCGGCCGCGCAGCGACTGCGCAAAAGGCCTTCCCACACCCTCCCTCCTCACGCCCCTCCTGCCCATTTCATGAAAGCCCGTGGCAGGCAGGTGGCGACAACTTGTCTTCCCGCTTGGAGCAACCAAGCCCCAAAAGCCGGGACAGGGCCTTGTGCCCAACCTCCAACCCCACGGTGGGCGCCTAGTTCACGAAATCGATCTTCATGTATCAAAACACTCTCTGCGCTGATGTTTACTGATCGTGCAGGAAGCTAGCATACCCGTCAGCAGATGGCAGCCCTCTCCAGCTGAGGACACCAAGGGCCGCGGCCTGTTCAGCCACTGCACAGCCCCCAGACCAGTGAAGGGTAGAGGACATTTCACTTGACTGCCTCTATCTGTGGGCATGAATTATAGAACCCAGGCGGGGTCCCGTTTTTCTTACAAGTCTCTAGGCCCTATACTACTACTTAGGACAGTGGCTTGGTACACACTGGGTGGCAGTGGGGAAAGTTCCATGCCCCATGCCACGGTAGCTGAAGCACGTTAAGACCAACATTCCTTCAGGGCAGGGGGCTGAAAGTAACATTTCTTCCCCTAAACCATCTGTGAGCCCTGTCCTCACTCAAGCCAGTCTATACAACCTAGAGCTGCTTCTAGAAGTTCCCTTTCCGCAGCCCCTCACTCCCACTTCCCCTTCTCCCCAGTTCTGGAAAGACAGGCCCCTCCTCCTCTCCTGCTTTGACTCCCAATGCACTGACTTCTTCCTCTGGCCAGAAGCCAAGGCTGGCTCCCAAGGGGCTGTGGCCCTGGTCTGGTTCCCAGCTCCGTGGCTACCACTGTGGGAAAGCACTGGAGCCCGGGCTGTCCCCGCTCCAGAGACGGGCACAGGGAGGCAGGAACCGGAGCAGGGGCAGCTGCCTGGGACAGTAAGTGGGGCCATTCCAGCCCCACTCACTCCACAGGGAACCTCCCCTCCCTGGGTCCAGAAGTTTCTCCCCATAATATCCCCATCACGGTACCAATTTCATTTTCTCCATTTTATTTGTCAATATAAAAATACTCAATATTTACAACAAATAAATACGTGGGGACACAATAAGTTACACTGTTAGGAGCCCTCCTCCTAGGGCTGGGAGAGGGTATGCCATACCCACAGCATGCCCACCCTCTCCCTTCCCCTACCCCTCCCCCCTCATAACCTTTCCCAGCCCTGTAAGGGAGGACAAGTATAAAATACCACTGAACCCCAGGGCCACGCGGGATGCCCCACCCAGCCTTCCCCCAAACACACAGGAGGCGCCATCTCCCTCCCCCCACCCTGAAAACATTCACAGCCCTAGGAGCAGGAGAGGCCCACTCCAGAGCCCTGCACTCCCGCCAAGGGGCACAGCACCCTGCCCAGCCCACCCCATATGTACATCTGCCCCCACGCTGGGGACAGGTGGGGGATAGGAGAAGCAAAGTCATACGACCCCTTCCCCTTCATAGCTCCAATGACTCATCAGGATCCCAGGCCAAGGGAAGACTTGACAGAAACAAGACTATGTCACACACACCCAACAAAACACACGTGCAACACACGCACATACACACGCGTATATATACAAACACACCCACATCTCCAACTTCTGCCTTGAAAAGCTTCGGCTGCTGGGGTCCCGCGTGTTGGCAATTCCCAGCCCCTCACAGAGAGGATGATGCCTTCTGCGAGGCCGGTGCCCTGGTGAGCCACACCAAGCGGCAGTGCTTGTGCCGGCAGTGCTGGGCGGGGGCGCCCCACTCGTCCCTGAGGTAGGTGGTGCCTGTGCAAATGGATGGGCTGAGTCTCCCACGCTGAGGTGGGCGCGGCCCTCATACTGAGGACTCCTCGGGGTTGGAGTCCGGCAGCGGCTGGCGCTGCTGCAGTTTGCGCCTCAGTTCGTCAGCGAGCTCAGGCAGGGGGTGCCCAAGCCCTCCCCGGTCGTCGCCTCCTAGCTGTAAGCGCACATAGCCGTTGGCATTCGAGTTCCTCCCACCCCCCAGGTGCAGCCGAGTGGGAGAGGGCAGGGGCTGGCCAGGGATCCCAGGAGGCGGAGAAGGGGGCCCTCCCCCGGGCTGGCACCGGGCGTGTCCAGGCACAATCTTGAGGGAGCCATCCGAGTAATAGTAGCCAACAGGATCCCACAGTTTCTCATCTGTCTCAGGGCCAGGTCGGAAGGGGGGACTGCTGGGCTCCTTGGGCAGCTCCAACGGGTACACCAGGGTCCTCTCCGCTGCCTTGGCACCTTTCTCCAGCTCCTCCCGCAGCCGCCGGCGCAGTGACAGAACAAGCAGCAGCAAGACCAGGCACACAGCCCCCAGGGCCACCACGGCCAGCCACACCAGCCCCAGGTTTTCCAGGGGTGCCCGGGCCTCCAGGGTCACTGACGGGCCTGCCACCACAGCCACCAGGTAGCCTTCAGCAGCCAGCCGTGCCCCTTGCTCCTCGGAAAAGCAGTGATAGGCCCCGGCGTGGCGGGGCTGGGCGGCCATCACCACCAGGGCCTGCAGTCGGGCATCGTAGAGGAAGGAGCCAGGCTGTTCTGCAGGCAGGTCCTGGCCCCCAAAAGTCCAGCGGGCGTGGGCGAGGTTGGAGGACAGGCGGCAGGGCAGCACCAGGTCTGTGCCCGCCACCACTGTGATGTTTTTGGGCGTGAGCCTGACTGCAGTGGCAGAGAGAGCAGAGAGTTAGTGCAGCAAACCCAGGGCCAAGGGGAGAGGCATACACACCAACTCTGGCCCGCGGCCCATCCCACTGGGAGGGGAGACAAAGCAGCTCACCTTTCTTATTGCCACGGAGGTTACAAATGCCCGAGGTGTCTGAGACCATCACATGCTGGATCAGCAGGGATCTGGTTGGGGAAGCAGGGCCCGTCAGCATCCTGGCTCCAGCCACCCTTGTCCTCCCTCCAGGTCTCAGGGTGCACAGAGCCCCACTCACCCAGAGTGGCTGCCCACGGCCACACAGCGGCTCGTGTTGACGCTCCAAGCGCAGTAGGGGTCCCGAGCGAGGATACAGTCTGCACAGGAGCGGTACTTCAAGCAGTCGGCCAGGGGCAGCTGAATCAACTGAGAGTGGGAGCCCGCGAACAGCAGCTTCTGCAAGAGAACCGATGAAGGAGGGAGCGTCAGCCAGGCCAGGCCAGCACTCAGGGGTGCTTGGCACTGCAGGGTCAGGACTGGAGGCACAAGGGCAAAAGGTGCCAAAAGGTAGAAGACGGCAGTGTGCAAGTCCCAACGATGGAACCTAAGGGCTGGAGAACACACGGAGGTCTTACTACAATCCTAAGCACCCTACAGACATGACCTTATTCAATAGGAGCTGCAGACCCACAGGCCAAGTGTCAGCACACGTTTACACGTGCACACAGCCCCAGAACAGTACATAGAGTACACATGTCCATGGGGGTGCATCAGCCTCACAAGAGCACCAGCACAGTGTGAGGTGTTTCCCTGTTTGAATGGGTATTGCCAAGCTATGTGCTTCTTTAACCACAGACTTTCTTTCTGCCATTTTTCTATGTTCTGGGAACAGTTCGGGCCGCAGTAGTTGGTAAAAGATCAGCACCTGAGAGTTCAGGGTGCCACAGACAGGCGGGAAGAGAGTGCCTCGTGAGGGTAAGGTGCAAGGGGCACTACAGGGAAGTGGCAGAGCCAGGGCCCTGGGCACTGAGGGAAACCTGACATGAGGGTGTCCTGAACAAGCAGCTGGAGAGTCTGCCACTGGCATCACACCAGAGAAGAGCCTATATGGGGCAGAGGCGCAGCACAACCCTGAGGGGTCTGAAGAAAGCGTGGGGCACAGCTGCCAAGGCCCAGTTCTGGGAATGCAGCCCCACAGGGACCAGGTTTTATATAACACTGGTGGGCATGGATTCCGTTAGCATCTTACTCCCTCGACCTTACTTCCTGGTGCTCACTCCTGCACTGGCTCAGCTGAAGACTCGAGAAGGTGCAGGGATGGTAGTGGGCAAGGCCTGATCCCTACCTTGCTCTGGGACAGGACCAGGCTTTCCAGGGGCTCCTGGTCAAAAACCTGCAGCTCTTCAATTAGGTGGATCCAGGGCCCCAGGCTCACAGCCTTGAGCAGCCAGCCACCTCCTGTGGGGGTTTAGGGGAGGGCAGGTGTGAGCCAGGGGGCACGAGGGCGTCTCCACTTCTCCCTCCCCAAGCGTGCAGGCCTTCCCCCGGCCAACAGCAGCCACGCCCACACCCCCACGTGCCTACCTGTGCCAATGAACAGCACTGTGTAGGTGGCTCTGTCAAGCCCCGTAACCCGGTCAGCTACCAGGTGGGTGAAGTTGGTGTCCTTCTTCACAAGCAGGGGCCGGCCCCACCGAGGCCTCACCTGCTCCTCCATCAGCGGGTGCTTCTTGATGAAGTTGAGGGTGTTGTCAGGCAGCTCCAGGGAACTGGTATAGCCATGGCGGCGGTGCCAGTTGTTGATGCACTGGGGATGGGGGCAGGGGAGAGCTGTCAGCCTGGGGGCCATGGCCCCAGAGCCGTGGGCAGGAGCACATGCTGCCCAGAGAACTCACCGAGCCAGGCCGTGGGCTGGGTACTGGGTCGGTATAGCGGCCCCACTTCTGGGCTTGTTCACGGTATTCCTTGTAGGGACCCTCGAACACCTTCTGGATCTCTTCCAGTTGGTACTCGCAGACTGCCGACAGGTCCACATCACCCCTGTCACAGCAAGGGAAGGACCCCCAGGGTCAGGCCAGGTGCCTACTTTACCCCAGCTCAGAATATCGTAGGAAGGCAGAGCCCAGTATAAAGTGGGCATGGGCACACACTGTAACGGCAGCTCTTAAGTGTTACCAGGGCAGGATATCGCCCACCTCTCACTGGCTACTTTGAAAAGGGGCACATGCCCAACACCTTCCCTGGCTTCTGGACAACTGACCACCTGGACTTCCCCCAGAGGCTTGCACCTATAAAACATCCACAATCTGCAAACTTGCTCCTCCCCATCCCTAAGGATTCCTGGCCAACTCACCATCGTGCCCGAAAAACCCCAAAGAAGGTGGTGTTGGGCCAAGAGGTGTCCTGCAGGGTGTGCAGCGCCTGCAGTTGGTTGAAGTAGAGCTGCCAGTCTGGGGCAGAGCACACCAGCCATGCCTTCAAGAAGGTGGTCCACTTCCTCTGCAGGGTCCGCGCGCCTCCCACGTCTCCCTGGCAGATGGCAAGGAGACACCGCTGGTCAGCCCTGCCAGGCCAGTGCGGCTCCCAGGGCTCACCACCGCGGGATTTTGTACCTTGCAGACGCGGGCTACGCGAGCCACCACCTGCTCTGTGTAACAGTTGTACTCCACAGCTCGCTCGCTGAAGAAGAAGTAGACCTTGTCATCGTCTCCCGTGAAGCTCCCCACGCTCTCCGGGATGTAGGCAGAGCCGACAAAATGAGGTTCTATGGGAAGAGGAATGGAATTAGCATCGGGGGAGAGGGGGGTCTTGGGGCCCTCACAGTGTCTCTAACCCACATCGCCCTCAGTCCCCTCGCCAGCAACTCAGGGCTCACCATTGAGCCAGAAGGCCAGGTACTCTGTCTTCATGGAGTGGTGAGGCCCCATGTTACGTAGGATAACAGGCTCTGTGCCCAGGAAGTTGTTGAGCGTGGCTGAGTACAACTCACCATCTATGGGAGACAGAGGGTCAGCTAGGCCAGAAGGGAGGTTGAGATACCCTTAGGTCACACAGCCCCAGAGTGGGAGCAAGTCTTGGGGGACTCTGTCAGCCTACAGTAGGGGCAGCCACTCACCCACAAGGAGGCCTGTGTGGCCCTTAGCTGGGTCGTAGGGACACTTCCCCTTCCCATCCTCAAACTCTCCGCGCTCCAAAGTGAAGGTGAACATGTTCTGGGGCAGGGAAGAGACAATGAAATGAGAGGCAGCCAGGCCCAAAGCCCAGGGAAGGGCTAGGAAGGGGGCTGAGAATGGCAGACAACACTCACAATGTAGGCGCACTTGGGCTGAAAGGCATAGGTACCACAAACGTACAGGTGGGACATATTGTATGGCTGCAGGAAACGGATGAAGTTGAAACATTCCGTCTGGGGAGAGAAAGGCATCCAGTTAATGTTGTGAGGGCAGGGGCCATAGGGACCCAAGGACAAAGAACGGGACCCAGATCAGCACTGGGACAAGGGGAGCGTGGGAGAGAGGATGTGAGCCATGAGACCCGGCCCGTGGGATGTACCTGGGATACTGGCCTTCCTGGCAGCGTCCCCAGCACGCACCTGGTTACTTTTCCCTTTCTGGATACACTCGGCCTTTTTCTCAGCTGGTGCCTCCCATGAGATCTGGGGACAGGAAGGGGCACATTGTCACAGGCATATACAGAGCACATGCCACAAGCATGGCCTGTGGGAGCACCATGGGGATGCCAAGTGAGAATGCAGGGTCCCTGTTCCCTAGGAGTTAAGAGAAGCCCCAAATGGCCCAGCGCAGAACTCAGTTAAATGCTGCAGATGAGGGGGATGCAGCACAGTACTGTCTGGGGGTGTGGGGGAGGCTTGGAGACCCAGTGAGATTTCCACAGGGCAGGAGAAGAGGGCAGAGGCAGCGGGCTGAGGGGACAGCCTGGCCTAGTAAAGCCCTTCTGGGCCTGCCTCCCCCACCCATGTGCCTCCCGTGCCCCCACCTCTCACCACTCCTTGCAGCTCCAGAGTCTCCGCACTGAAGGCAAACAGGGCCTCCCGGGCCCCCACATACAGAAGCCCGGTCTGCTCAGTCAGGGTCAGTGTCAGGAAGTCCTGGATGCCCGTTTGGGAGAACCGCCGCACCACTGTGGCCAGCTCTGCAGGGACAAGGTGGGAGGAGCTGGGCTGTGGGTGGGCCGGCCTTCGTGGGACACCAGACTCACCCCAGCCTTCTGCAGACCATGGTCTCCTAGGCCTAGTTACCCGCTTCCCACTTTATAGCCAGTGCCCCAGAAGCAGTTGGCAGCCAAGCCCCCTGACTGAAAGTAAAGGGCATTTTCTGATGTAAATTTTCTGAATAGCCTTTTGGCTCTGACAGCTCCACCCAGGCCTCCAAGGCCTTTCCCAGCCTGGGAGGAGGCAAATCTGGGCTGGTGAGGAGGTAGGAAGGATATCTCAGCCACAGCTTCCGGCCAGAGGAAGCCATAAGACTGACGCTCTCACTCTCAGGGTTAGCGGCACCTCCGGCTGCAGAGCTGGGCAGCTGCTTCCTTCTTTGCTCTGCTGCCTGCTGCCCACATCAGGATGCAGCCAGGACGCAGCCCCCGATCCAGCTGGGCAGGACATTCAGAAGGTGTGAGCACTTCTTGTCTTAGGAAACCCCTTTTTCCAGCATACCCAAATCCAGGTTGCCAGGGATACAAGCACAGCTGGCCACTGGGATGAGCAGGGATGACAGGAGACAAAGTCAGGGAGGAAGGCCAGGTGAAACCAGAGGCAAGGGATCAGAGATAAGCACTGAAACCTCAGGATGGGAAGCCTTGCTGCTATTTGCTATGCAGGGCAGTAGGGCACTATGACATTCATAGTCACAGGACTCCTAGGTCAGCCCCCAAACAGCCACCAACCTGTCCTCGGTGTCCCCCTACACCAGCCTTAGTCTTTGGAGCCAAAGATGGGCCCAGATACAGGATGGCAAGGGAGGTCTTCATTAGTACCGGTGTGGGGCCTGTGGGAGGTGAGCTCATCCTAGGTCCCCAGAGTACAGATGATACAAACACCTGACATCACCTCCTCACAGAGGTGGGAGTGCACGCAAAAAGGGCTGTCAGCTCCACATCCCCCACATCAGCTTGTGTGTGTGTGTGTGTGTGTGTGTGTGTGTGTGTGTGTGTGTGTAAGAGATTGGGCTCAGGGCTAACACCAGGACTAACAATAATTCAAGAGGTCAAGCACCAGGAGACCGATGCAGATACAGCAGGGCCAGGCCAGCCTGGTCCTAGGTATCTGAAGGTGGACACCATAGGTCCTAATCTGGACTGTAGGTCCCTGGGGCCATTCCGTACATTTCTAAGAAGGGTGTGTCACATAACATGGGTGAGCCTTGAACCCAACAGCAGAATAAAACTGGCACAGTGCAAGGAGTGATTCTTTAGCACCCCTTGTCCCCCAGCAGTCCCTCCCAGACTCCTGCTCCCCACACAGGTCTTTCTCTCCACAACTTCAGGTACTCACCCCCAGAGGATACTGTTTTCCGGGGCACCAGGTTCCACCACACCTCAGCCCCAATGCCCAGGCCCCACAGCCCCACTGCCAGCAGCCAGACAGCCCAGTGTGGGGCCATGGCACACGCCGTGGCTCTAAGCTCCAGGCCAGCTGCCCTGCTGGGGAAAAGAAAGGGTCAGAGTCTCAGGCAGAGAAAGCAGACCGGAAGGGGGCCCACACCAGCCCTCGGCAGGAGATGCTGACAGGACAGAAGACCTGGTCAGGCCTCTCCCCAAGAGCCTCCTGGGTTCCTCCCTGGCCCCTTCCTCTGAGCAGAGCCCTACTGACCTCCCACACCTGGCCTCAGCACCCACAGCTTCCAGAGAACCATGGGGTCTCCTTGCTGGGGAGGAACTGGGTCAGCTAGAGGAATGGGCACTCCAATAGGCTGTCTCTGGCCTCCTCCAAGACCCTCCCCCACCCCCTCTTCTCAACAGGAAGTTGTTTAAGAAAATAAAACGGGGAGCCCTCCTCCCCTACCCTCAGGCCTGATGGATTCGAGGAATTCTTAAGAATAACCTCTGGAAACAGAGCCTGTCCCTGCTGGGGCTCCAGTCAGCCCCAAGACCTGACTCTGGGAGGCAAACCCCTGCTTAGGGAGAGGGGGCATGTGGTGACGTGGGCAATGGAAAAGTCCCCCCAAGGCGGGGCTGGGTGCGGCCGGTGTGCTGGGGGTCCCGGTCCTAGCCTCTTCCCTCCCCCAGCGCAGACAATGGCCTGGCAGGGCCCAAAGCCCGTTCCACATCAGCAGGGCTGAAGTGGGGCCGGGAGCAAAGGGGCCCAGCTTCCAGAAACCCCTTTGTTGCCCAAGAAGGGAGGCAGGAAGTGGGTGGGATGGGCGTGGAAATGGCCAGGGCCTCATCCTGTCCTCCACGCACAACCTCCTAGGAGCCACCAGCCCTTGGGCTGAGTGGCGGCGGACCACAGAGCCGGCTCTGGGCTCCTCCCGGGATCTCCCCGCCACGCTCTCAGGCGGGGGCCGGGGAGAAGGCAGGAGCGAGTGAAGGGCGCGAGAGGGGTCTCTCCCCGGCTGCGGGGGCCGGCGCCTGATGCGCTCCCCAGGAGTCTGGCAGACGTCCCAGCTCAGGAATTGTGGTGTTGGGACCCCGGCCGGCAGGCCATCTGGATTAACTTCCACTGCACCAGCCTTCCAATGACGGGCGCAGAGACACAGAAGCTGGGGACCTGCTCACCCCAAAACAAAGGGTCCCCGCCAAGACCCGGTCCCTGGTTCTCCCCCAGGTTCTCCCCTCCCCCCAGCTCCGGGGATTTGAATGCAAACAAAGCGGCGGCACCAGGAGCGTGGCGGAGCCTGGCCTGCGGACGCCCCCTGTCGGATCAGTACCCCGGCGCGGGAAGGGCGGGGGGCTGGGGATACGCTCACCCACAGTCGTCGGCCCCCTCACCCCAGCCCTCCCTCAGCCCCTTATTCCAGGCTCGGGACGGACCCCGTGGCGCGCTCCCAGGATCTGCCCACCCAACCGTGCCCCCAACCCCGGCCCTTCCCAAGGCGGGGAAACCGGCAGCCCCGGGGTGGGGTCTGGAGGCGTGCGGGGCCGGGCGGTGCGCTCCCCACCCTTGCCCACCCCGAGCGGCTGGCCGTGAACGGCGCTCCAACCCGCGACTGCGCGGCCCGGCTTGGGCTGGGAGCCTGGCTTTCCAGGACACCCCGCCTCCCCAGAGCGGCGGGCGGGGGACCGCAGCAGGGAAATCCGATCCCACAACATCGGCTTCAGTCCAAGCCCGCCCCAAACTTTCCGACGCGGGTGGGGAGCCGGGGGCAACTCGGGGACTTGGAGAGGATCCCGGCCGCGGGCCGGACAGCACGGAGGACCCCCCACTCTCCTTAGCCTCGCTCCCCCTGACCAGTCCGCGCTTCCGGACCCTAAGGCTGCGAGCACCGCTCGCCCCACTCCCGAGACCCCGCGAAGCAGTCTGCGGGGGGTGCAGGAAGGGTCTGGGGCGGACAGCTGTCTCAGCCACTGCTCCTCCCTGCGCCCCTAGACTGTCCCTCGCGTGTGCGGCAGCCCCGACCCAAATCGGGGACAAAGCGACGATCCCCGAGCCCTGGGCTCCGGCCCCGCGCAGCCCTCGCCTCACTCACCTCTTCTTCGCGGATTGAATCCCTGGGCGCCGCCCTCGCGTTCGGCTTGGATCACCGTCCGCCCCAGCCTGCGCCGCCGCCCGCCTGCGCGCACCCGCCCGCCCGCCTTGGTCCGCTGCCTCTCTGCCACCGCCCCTCGGTCCCGGCTCGGCTTGGCGCCCCTGGGCTCGGGCTCCCCGCGCCACCGCGGCGGGCGCCGGCTCTTTCTCCACCGCCGCCGCCGCTCTCCGCCCCCTCCCCCTGACGTCAGGCGGTGGGGGGGGTCGAGCGGAGGCCGGGGCGGGACGCGAAGGCCCGCCCAGGAGGGGGTTGCGACCCGCTGCGACCCGCCGGCCTCCCCGCTCTTCCACCGGGGGGCACAGACCCCCGGCCCTCCCCGAGCCCGGGCATCCCTCGCGTCCGAGTCGCGGTCTGCGCCACAGCACTGGGAGGTGGGGCGAGGAAGGAACTGGGCATTGCCTTGGGGGAATTGAACTCACCCGGTCTTTCCCGAAGTGTCCCCCAAGGCCAATCGCGGGCTAGACGGCCAGGCTCGGGAATGGGGCTGAGGGGCTCCCCACGCTATGGACAGGAGAGCCAGCTCAAGGCGAGTATCCGAGGGAGAGGTGCAAGGGACACAGGGGCTTCTCTCCGGGGCAGACCAGAGTGGTCTGTCTTTTGGCCCCAACACCCACTGGCCAGTCAGTCCACCAGACTGGACGACCTTACCGGCCAGGAGGACCCCCTAGGCTCCGGAGACAGTCTGCCCTGTTTCGCTCTGGGCAGAGGGACCTGATTGGCACTCCTTGCCCAGCTCCCTCTGCTCCTCTTGCGCAGAGCCTACCCCCAGGAAATGACTCCTGATGCCGCTGGAAGGCTGAATAACAAGTGCCAGGAGCCCTCATGTTCAGATGAAAGGGGCTGAGCAGAGCCTCTCTGGAGAAGAACTGCCACCTTCAGGACTGCCAGCCTCCGCCCACTGCCGCTCCTGGAAGTAATAACTCTGGCCTTGGCGGTGCTGGGGTGTCTGCCTTGCCAGCTGGTCCTCTGAGCTGGGCAGGTAGACAAATAAACCCCAGGGAAGCTGTCCCACTGGCACCTGGAGACAGGTGCCACCTCCTGGCTAGGGACGAAGGGCATAGGTTAAGACACTCTTAGGCTCTAAGGCTTCCCTGGTAACTTAAAGCCAGTGCAGTCCTGGAGGGGAGAAACACTTAGAGTCCCATCAGCAGATCTGGATTATAAATCAGTCCTGACAGGAGCTTTTGTTCTGGATTAAAACTTGGCGTCTGAGAAGTGGAGACCAGAGAGTAGTGGAGATAATTGGGAAAAGCAGCCCATTTGAATTCAGTAACAATTGGGCCTTTGCTGGTCCACATAAAGGCCCCTTCTCCCGCGGGCTGGCCAAAGCCCCATTTCCTAGCTCCTTTCCACTAGAAAGCAAGCTGTGGCCTTGGAGATGCTGGAGATAGGGCACCAGCCAGTTAACAGCATGGGGGTGGGCAGGGGAGGCTCTTTGCTTCAGCTGACTGAGGAAGTGTGACCTTGGTCCAGGTTAGACCCTATGTCTATTTAAGTGCCTCTGATACACAGATACTCTTCACATTTGTTCCTTGCTTTAGACTTTGCAACCTGCCTTCACGTACATTTTATCACTCTACCCTTATGACCACCCTTTAAAAAAGTAGGTATTGTTTCTCCCATTTTATAGATAAAACGAGTCTCAGAAACTAAGCAACCTGCTTGAAGTCACACAGATAATTAGCAGGGTCAGAATGCTAATCAGGTCATGTGATGCCCCAGTCTCTTTCCACTATCAGTGTATCCTGACAGCTTTTAGGCTCGGAACACTCCATTTCCTGCTGTTTTTCCACACCTTTGTGTCTCACCTCCACTCCAGCCCTACCCATCACCCCTACCCTCTAGGTATGAGGCCAGGCAGAGACTTGAGCTCCTGGCTCTACCTGCAAGATGACCAGATGGGAAGTTTCAAAAGGTGGTTTGGTTTCACTGGCAATGACAGTCTTCCGTTCCTCATTGGCAGACTTCTCCGTTTGTGCTAAGACTCCAGAGCCCTTTCCTTCCCATCTGCTCCTTGAAAACAAGGCTGTGGTACCCTGCTCAGCTTTTCTACCTTTGCTCATTTCCAACACTGGCTTTTTCTGTGGGTGGGCGGATGGGGAGGGGATAGTTTCCTGCACGACTTTTTTAACAAAAGCACTATGGGAAACAAATGAGGATTCCTGGGTCTTAAATTAAGGATGTAAAAAAGTTACTAATTGGGGGGGAGGGGGAGGGGCTCATGTACCTATCAAGTCCTTGTAGGACCTATTTGGCATATTCTATGGAAAGTACCAACTCCTTAAGCCTTGACAGACCCTCCTACTTGCCCCATTTGCTCAACTGCTTGTGGCCAAGTCAAAGAGAGTCAGAGATGTACTAAACGAATACCTTCTGAGGATCTCAAAGGATCCACTGGCACCTCAGACCAGTCCCTAGATATGGTTCCAAGGGTCTTACCTGGATGGAAACCCAGGCCCTGCGCTGTCCCCCACGCATTGGTCATGTGCCATGGATCCTTCACTTGAGCTCCTTACCCTCTAGCTCTCTGGAGGTAGCTGACAGGAGGGGCGCTCAGGGTTCACGCTGGGTTTCTCCCGTCAACACTGCCTGGCTGACTTTCAAGGGACCCAGGAGCTATTGTCACCCACAGAAGGGGAAATGAGAAATCCTGGGTCAGCCATCCTTCAGGGATCTTTCTGAGGTGAGTGGGGACATAGGAAAAGGACTTCCTCTCTCTACTTCCTCTCAAAAGAGAGTTATCAAAGCTGTCCACCTGGGAAGCCTTTCCCTTCCCAGCCCCTCCCTGCCACCATCACCAAAAGGAAGCAGGAAAACATCCGTCATCACAGCCCCGGATGCCGCCTTTCCAGCAGCTTCAATCAGGATATCCCCAGCCATTCTCCAGGGGCTTTGGGACGTGGAAAGGGCAAGTGGTGAAGTTGCCAGCACCACTATGGAACTCTTGGCTGAGAGGAGGCTGAGTCTATAACTGGTCCCAGACTAGTTTTAGAAGGTCTTGTCAGCAGCCAGCCAGTTCCAGAGAGGGCCTATAACATGTCCTGGGGGATAGCATACGCCTTTGGGTGACCTCACAGTGCACACCTCTGCTCAGGTTTCAGCTTGGTTTCTGGAGGGACTGAGTCGTCACCAACACCTCCTTCCTTGGTATCTATTTCTCTCTGGGGGATGCGTGTGCTTGGGGAACAGGGGCAGTGGAGGCAGTGTACTAGAGCCAGGACTGGCGGAAGAGCTCCAGCTCTCTGTGCGGATGGACTGCTCCATCCCTTTCTCAGAGCCAAGTAGGGCCAGCTTTGAGCATTGGAAACTCCCTGGTTCAGCGTCTCAGGTTCCCTACTCCCTCTGTGCCCTTGGCTGTGAGAACAAAGGAGGGAAATTTCAAAGGTGATTTCCAGGTTTCCAGAGCAAACTGAATAGCCGAGGATTAACTGTCAGGATGTGCAGTGTCAGAAGCAGAGATAGCCCTGAGGGAGGGCGAAGGAGGCTGTCTCACCAGTCTCCGCTCTTTTATCGGAGTATCTCAGGCCTACCTGATGTCACTGGGGCCTCAGTGGTGTCCCGGCCAAGGGTGCCTGTGATGCAGCCAGGAACAGAAACCAAAACTCTGAGTCAAGTCACCTGGGCATCTAAGTTGCCATGGCAGAGAGGTTCTTCTACCTCACCTTGGCAAAGGCAGCAAGGCAGAGAGGCGACCTGTTGGTAGCCAGCACTCCGTGGTGTGTGCCTGCCCTCTGAATTATAGATGTCCCTCAGCTCCCAGCATTCTAGGGACCCAGCGAGGGAGGTAGCAGTTTCTAACAGGCCCAGGAAGTGATGGGCTACACTTCAGGGCTGCAAACTGAGCCGCTTGGCCTGAAGGGCATGTCTCTCTCCTAGTTATCCATCTTACCCTGCCCGCTGTGGCATGAAAGAGCAAAGGGAAAAGACACATAAACAGCAAGTCAAACACCAGCCATGGTAAAGCTTCATCAGTAGAGACTCGGGTTGAGCTAAGGAGTGGGCACAGGCCAGTTGGGCAGGGGTCAGCCTAGGCTACTTCCTATCTGCCTCTTGTGTCCCATTCAAAACCCCAAACCATCCCAGAAAGAGTCAGGAGCGTCCAGAGACTAGAAATGGATTCTCAGAAGGGGTGGGCAGAGAGAGAAAGTCATACCCAGGGATCTCCTGGGGGCATGGACAGCCCACTCACTTCTCAAGGGGGACAGGACATTCAGTGCCCCATTAGGGATCAGGGCCCACAAAACTGATGTTGGGTAAGGCTGAAAGAAAACAAAAGCAGTATCTGGACTGGCCTTTTGGCACTGCCCTCCCACTGGGTAAGCCTGGGGAATTGATTTCAAAGCTCAATAATAAACTGAATTAAGTGTAATTACAGAGCTCATCATGAGCTCACTCTGTGGTTCCTCTCCAGTGCGGGTGGGGAGTGCGGAGTGGTCCCAGACTGGGTCCAAACAGATGTTCCCCATCCCTGCTTCCAGGGTTTCTGACAGCTCTGGAGCCACTGGGATAACTACTCCTCCCTCAGCGGGATGGAGGGGAGGGTGTGTGTGCTGAAGACAGGGGTCACATGACCTTTGGAGGTGAGAATTCCACAAAGCTCAAACAGAGGTGTGAGGAAACTAGGTGCTGGTCATGAGCCCTCAGAATAGGGCTTGTAAGACATCTTTTAAATCACTGACGCAGAAATAAGATTTTAATGTGCACAAAGAAACTCCTAGTAACACAGAGGAAGGAGGGTGGGGAGGACTAAGGTTCAGCAGGACCCAAGAAGGCAAGGGACACCAGAGCTCTGGAGACAAAGGCTGTGGGGACAGAAGAGATGGCTGGGAGGGGAGGAGAGCTGAGGGACAGGCCGGGCAGGGGAAGCCTCTTGCCTTGGCTGGTAGGGCCAGGGGCAGTGTGCAGCAGGCTCTTGCTTCATTAGACTGGTCTTTCTCTGGCCTCCATTCTTCACTTGCTCCCGTTCCCTGAGCCCCGTTCAATTCCTGCCAGAGACAAGAGCCCTGGGCCAGCCCAGCCCTGCCCTGCTCCTTCAGATGTCCTTCCAGGGCCTGAAGTACTGGACCTGTGGCAGAGACAAACACAGGGTGTCATGGCCCAGGCCCATGCATTCCCACTATCCTGATGCTCCATCTCCACACCCACTCCAAGCCTTGTCCATGCCAGGCACTGAGTGACCAGAATACAGGGGCTCCTGGTCCAGGCGAGGACATGGCAGGTCAACAGGCCACTTGATCACAGCACATGAGTGCTTCGCCTGGGTTCCCTCTATTCACAGCTCACAGGTCCAGGGCAGTTTGGAAGGAAGGTGGGGCCTGCCCCCTGGCTTGGCCAGGCTACGATCACTCTTCCTTCCTTTCATGACAAACACAGTTTCCCACCAGAAGCTAGTGTGATCTAGTTCCTTGGGGATTGAGGGTGAGGTTTGCTCTCCACAGCTTTCTCAGGAGACTTGCGAAATCTGAGACCCAAGCCACAGCCTGTGGCCGATGTGTCAGCCCCAAGTCAGAGGTTACAGGGGGAAGGACAAGCAAAGAGAAGTCAGAGGACAGCCAAGTTGGGAGCCAAGGAGCACTGGGAGGGAGGGGGGAGACAGTCTCCTCAGAACCAGCTCATCTCCATCAAGGGCTGGAGACCAAAGGAGGGAAGAGCCCTTAAGCCAGCCGTTGCTGCCCGCTGAGGGGACAGAAGGGAGGCTGCCAGAGCAGGGTTGGGACCGGGCTTAAGTGTGCAGGCTTGGGTGGCAGGTTGGCTCTGGGCCCTGGTTCTGACATTTACATGTTGCCTGCATGATGGTGCAAGCTATTTAACCTCTCAGTGACTCTGGTTAGCTTGCTCATCTGTAAAACAGGATGTTAACATTATCTGTCTCATGGGGGTTAATTGGATTCATGAAGAAAAGCGTCTTCAACTCAAAAATTATTAGGCATGCATGTTATCACCTAGATAATCAGAAAATAAGGGCTATGGAGGTCGCTGCTACAGAAATTGGAGGGACTAGGCTAGCCTAGGAGTGTCCCTCCTAGCAAAGCAGGAGTCCAGCCCTAGGCCTGCAGGACAAGTGGGCAGAGGGCCGACAGCTGGTGCCTCTAGTGCCCCATCCTGGCACTGCTCATGAAAAACTGGTACTCCCAGGCTCTTCCTTCTCCAGGGTTTAGTTTCTCTTTGCATCTGCCTAGGAGTCAGCTTCTCTGTATCCCCCTCACCATACCCTCATGCTGGGTATTTGATTCTTGATAAGAATGGCAAAGGTCCTCCAAGACCTCCCCACCACCCCTTGCCTTCTTCCCCCATCCATCAGCCAGGAGCTCAGCAGTTCAGCAGGGTGGGTGTGATGCTGGTTCTGCTTAGCCTGCCTGACCACTTACTCTCCTTCCTCACAATCTGGGGGCTGGAGGGGCACCACCTGGGGCTGGCAGTGGGCCAGTAGCTCCTGTCAGTGGATGTAGGTCTGGGCAGCCAGGTCCTTGAGTTTGGTTTGGTGCATGGCCTAAGGGCTCTCCTGGTGTTGACATGTTGGTCCAACTGCGCGCAGAGCAGCTGCAGCTCTTCCTGGGGGCACAGGCCATCACATCCACAGTGGGGAAGAAGGGAGAGTGAAGTCAGAGAAAGAGAGGGACACATTTGAGTGACTGTTCAGAAGATGGGCAGGAAAGGGAGGCTAGGGAGAGGGGCACAGGTCAGCATCCCTTGGAACTCCTCGAGGGATACAGGGAGAAGGAAGAGGCCTGGCTCCCCTAGGCTGCCTTCTTTCTCAGACTCCCACTCTGTGCAGTTCCTGACAGTGGGTTGGGCTCCTGAGAGACTCACCCAGTGGTCCAGGAAATGTCCTGGCAGCTGACCACCACCCCAGCCAGTGTCAGGAGGCTGTGGCACAGGTAGCACATCTGGGGAGACAGCACAGTGCAGTGGGCCCTGACTCCCACTCCCAGCACCTCGTGGGCTCAGTAGGCCATGGTGGGGACTCAACCCACCACTGGGCTTCCAGAGTTCCCAGAGGGGACGTCTCCAAGAAGGGCTCCAGACCACACTCACTCAGAGCTCTCCCTCTGATGAATGATTGCCCTCCCTCCCCTCAGAGAAAGAAATCTCTGCCATCCAGAAACCTACACTGTTACTCACCCATCCTGAGGTTCCAGCAGAGAAAGCCCACTGGGAAGGGAGGCCTGTCCATTCTGACCTCTGCATGGTGTTCGGTCTCTGTTCTGCTCCCTGAAGCGCGTGTGCCTGTGGACACTGTGACTGAGTGCCACCATCTTCTATGGGGAGATGTGGCACATACAAGGAGGCAGGTGAGAAAGGGGAGGCAGAAGGGAGGCAGTGTGGGTTAAGCATTTCCACACCTTACCCACCAACTCATACCCTTGCTTCTGCCTGCTGAACCCTGAGGGTTGCAAATAGGCAAAGGCCAATTTCATCCCAGGAGAGAATGGTTTGACCCCAGGTAAACTTGGATTCCGTGGGTGCCCATTCACCCATGGGATGTCCACCTGCTGTGCATAGAAGGTTCAGGGAGCACCTCAAAGACAGGTGAGGCTTCTCTGTGAGGGCAGATGGGACTCCAGCCTCTGGGCACACCGCTCCCCACTCAGGGGTGCCTGACGCCTTGTCCCCTCACACTTCTGAGGTCTAAGATAGGGAAAGTGACAGGAACAACCCTTCCATTGTGCCTGTGGCTTATAACCAGCCCTGAGGCTGAGCTGGGATGAGAGAGCTGGCTCCAGAGACAGCCTGCAGGGCTCTAGCTTGGTGACAATAGGGATGGAGCTCAGAACCAGCCTAAGGCTCTCCTGTCCCCCATCTCCCCTTATTTTTTAAGTTTTATATATATATATTTATTTATTCAAATATAGTTGATACACAGCGTTATATTGGTTTCAAGTATACAACCGTAATTCAACAGCTATCTACATTAAGTACTCACCCCAACTAGTGTAGTTACTGTCAACATAGAAAGATATTACATTATTGACTGTATTCCTTATGGTGTACTTTCATCCCTGACTAATTTATAATTGAGGTTTAATCCCTTTCTCCTATTTCACTACCCCAACCTCTCTTCCTCGAGTACCAGGAGGTGCCCCTGGAATGGTGGCTGCTTCTTTTCATAGACGCAGGAACCCCCTTACAGCAGAAGCCAGAACCATTTTGAGGGCACCAGACTTGGCACGATAGTGTCTTCTTGAGCTCAAATACTGTGGTGCAAAATCATGAGGACACAAGCCACCTGCCCCGCAGCCTTGGTCTCCCACCAGCAGCACCTGCCCAGCCCGGGCCCCAGCTGTTCTTCAGCATGACAGCTGAGGCCCACAGGTGGCCTGAGCCCACAGGCTGGCCAGGTTGGCAGCCCTTCACACTACAAGCACAGAGAAGACACAGTGGGGAAAGCTAGGGTTGCTCTGAGGCAGCTCCACCTGCTGGGTCCTGCAGCTGCCTGGGCTCTGAGTCGGTGCTTCCCACAGGCTCCCTTCCCCAGCCTCGCCTTGCCCTAGGGACATCCACAGCTTTCAGAACTCTTTCCAAACTCTGCAGTCCTGGCAAAAGGCTCATTGTCATCCCCCTCCCCCTGCACCCCCCCCCATAAAGCAGGCTCAGGCCTGAGTGCCAGACACTGTACCTTGACTAAGACACATCCACAAACACCCAGACATTAGAGAGAGGATGCTGAAGAACGAATGGCAATTAGTCATTTGGTCAACAGATACTAAATCTCAGCTTCCCCACAAAACAAAAAGGAAAAGTGTCCTTCTAGTTATTTTGGGGTGGCAGCAGTGGTCTGCAGCTCAGAAGGCTTCAGGGAGGAAGTGACTAAGCTAAACCAGGCCTCAAACAGAAGGATCTGAGGTGAAGATGGCCCTGTGGGCACAGGAGCACAGCCGAGATTACACCACCACAGATCTCTGGGCTGATGCAAGGAGCAGAGGAAGGGTGAACTGGGCACTGGCTGCCAGGTGGCTGGCTAGGGGAAGGGAGGAGGGCCTGAGGATGGGGATGGCCACAGAGGGTCTGGACAGTAGGTAGTGGAGGCCACTCGAGGCTCTCGAGCATGGAGGCTAGTTTGTGGGATGGACTGGAGGTTTCTGGGGGAAGCAGGTGACAGAATCAGTTGGGATGGAATATACCAGAGTGAAGATGTGGCTCTCCCCAAAAGAAAGGATTACAGGATCTCCCTTTTTTTTTAAACATAAATTCTCTACAATGTGTGTGCTTCACTCATATAATCAGCATACAAAGTTAGAGCCCTCTGGACCAATGCCCCTCTTTGAGAAGGCATCAAGCAAGCTGACAGTGAGAGGTGGCAGGAGATGCCAAAGAAAATACCCAAGGGCGAGGGGCTGGGGACCTTGGAAGGTCAGAGGATGGTGGTGGGTGTGGAAGCCTGGGAGGGGCTGGGCAGAGAAGGCACACCTCAGACCTTCACTTGTAAGTACTCCCAGCACCTGAGGTGGGCCCGCAGGCTCAGGGAGCTGCACCTCAGAGGCCCCAGTGCACAGTACTGGAGGGGGAGGGCTAACAGGGACCTTGGGTGCTCTGGGATTGGTGCAGAGGCAGTCCTGGCCCCTGGGGCCCCAGGCACCACCCCCAGGCAACACCCCCATCATCCTTCCCCACAGAACTTATCTTCCAAGAGGAGGCGTGGTAAGGGTGGGCCTGGGATCTGAGGAATGCCCTGGAGGAAAGTGCAGCCGGGATTTACTGAGAAAAAGTGACTTCTACAGCTCTGTGTGTGCGGGTTTCACAACTTTGTCCCCACGCTGATTCCTGTAACAATCTGGAGGGAAAATCCCAGAAAAACGATTCTGAATGTGGTTGTTTTGGGGGGTAGGGGTGTGGGGGGAGAGCAAGAAGGAAGTGGTAATTCTTAAGAACAGTTTTGTTAAACTTCATTTTATAAGCCGGTTTTCCCAAGGGGAAAAAAACTTGTCCACTAGCTGCAAGGAGGGTGGAACGCCTTGTTTCCTGGCACTGGAAGGTGATCCCTGGCGCTGGGGCTAAGAGAGGGAGGCCCTCAGGAGGACTTTGATCTAGCTTAAGGGGATAAGGTGCCACCTGTGGTCGAAAGTCATGACAGAGCAGTGCTCTTTGTAGTAGTACTTTTGGGGAAAAAAAAAAAAGGACTTTGTTACTGTGGAGGAAGCACCCCAATCACCTCCCTTCACTTCCCCCAGACCCTTGTTGAGGGGACGGCTCAGTGTTGATCAGAGTTGTAGGAGGACATCCGACCTCACCCAGGTGTTCCTTCAGTGGCACCAGGTGCAGGTATGGCTTCTGGACCCCTCCTCCCACTCCACCTCTCTTCTACCCTGCTTTTGTGAGGGTCAGAAAAGCACAAATTAGCAGCCCCTGGGGCTCTGCAGCCAGGCGGAGCCTGAACCAGTCTCCCTTCTCAGAAAATCCTAGAGGTGGGTGGTGGGGTTGGGAGACCCGAGGCTGGCCCTGGAGCGCCAGCAGGGGTGGGTGAGAGCTAGGCCTTCCAATTAGGATACAAAGTAAATAGCCAGGTGTAAGAGCTGCGTTTCCTGCTCCTGTCTCGCTGTGACCAATAGCTGAACCTAGCAAGCCCATTCTTGTCCTGGCTGGCACACTGGCCTCTGTCTTTCCTTTCTAGGCAGTGGCTGTGCTTGTGCTGGTAGGTGCTGAAGCCCCCTGCCTGCTCCTATTTCCTCCACGGCTGAAGTGCAAGGTGGCCTTTCCATAGCCTGAGGCCCCTTCCAAGTCCCTAATGGGTGTCAAGGTGGCTTCACGGTTAAAGAGCAGGGCAGAGGCCCTTCTTGTATGCTGGGTAGGGGCTATATTTGTCTAGCCTTCAGAATCTTATTTGAAAAATAGGCCCTCACCAGCTCAGGCTGCCCAGTGCCTCCTCCCCCAAGTGTGAGTGAAGGATGGCAAGCCCCCATGGGAAATGGGATCCAGGAAATTGCAGCCAACAACTTGGGAACAGGCAGTCTGAGGGCTAGGAAAGGGACATGTCTGAACCCAGTGCCAACAAGACAGGACTGTCCCTTGCCAGCAAGGCCTGCAGCTCCCAGAACCATCCTGCAAGGCCTGCAGCTCCCATTTTCTGGGTCTCTCCCCAGAGACGGGCAGGCCGACTTTTCTGACAAGTTCTATGCAGGATGCCTCCTTCCTGGCCCTAGAGCCTTTTAAAGCAGGCCCTGGCCTCCCCCTTGGGAAGGGCGATGGGGGAGGGTGACCCATAGGAGACAGCCTATTGGGCTTGTTACTCACTGAAGGGGTCGGGCAAGGAATGGGCAATGTCTCCTTGTTCTGGTCCAGCTAATTGTGACGGCAGAACCACCGGCCAAGTCACCATTTGCAGCACTTTCATCGGAAGACAGAAGAGAAAAAGGGTGAACATTTCCCAAGAACTTCATTCTTTACAAAATTCCCCTCTAGCAAATGCCAAGGGAGCAGGCTGTGGCCTGGATTATTTATGCTTAAAAAAGGACAGAAAGGAAGAGAGAGGATATCCCAGGAAGTTACCCACTCGGGCCAGAACATTATGGTTTCTCCCACTTGAGGTCATGACCAAAAATCTAGGCTTACCGTAGGCAAGTCTTCAAACTAAGCCCTCTCCTTGGCAGCTGCCAGGCCAGGTGAGGATGGCAGATCTTGCCATTGGCAGGAGGATCTAGTGGGAGCAGGTCCAGCCAGGCTCTGGGGCAGCTGCTGTGGGGATGGGGCAGAAGTAAGGATGCCCAGGCACACCTGCTGGGGAGGACAGACTGACGTGAGGACATGCTCACCCAGCTAGGCCATTGGCTCCTGCTTAGGAAGTTGGCCCTGAACACCTACTGGTGCTGGACTCCAGGCTTGGGGACCTGCGCTCAGCCCCAGTCTGGCTGGGCTACTCTCAGCCCTGTTAAACTGCCTAGAGGTCCCATCC